GCCAAGATCTCAGAGTCTGGAGCCTGCTCCGGATTCTGTGTCTGCCTCTCTCTCTGTCCCTCCCCTGCTCATGTTCTGTCTCTCTCTCCAAAATAAAATTAAAAAAAAAAAAAAAGACAAATAAAATGGATACATTGCTCTAGATCCTACAGATACTTGAGAGATCTCAGGGTGCTAGGTATAGGGACCAGGTTGAGCAAATCCAAAGTTTCCCAGCCAGCCATCTCTTCCTTTTTATAGAGGTGAACTGGCTTGGCTTTTATTCAATATCCCTTGAATGCATAAACTTCCAGTTATTTTGAAAAAAATCCTCTTCTTTTATATATGTTGATACTGACAGATCATGAGAAGCTAACAACCACTTATTACAATTTAATATGTCTGTGCATTTATCTTTTGAGAACAAATCTTAGAATTTCAACCACATGTATCCCTGTGCACACATTATTTGCTTGAACTTAATACAGTGGCTAAAAAAGGTTTTGAAGAATTGTTTGTACCTTTGGGTATATCTTAGTCACAGACTTTAAATAGGATTTTTTTAAGCCTTATGAAAACTGTATTTAGTCATGGCTTGGTACAAGTTGCTCACTGGATTCATTAGGGATTATATCTAAGGCTAAAATTTATTGCATTTAAAATAAGTACAAATGAAGAAACAAAATGTTAATGTTTCTTAATATCTATTAGAATGTGCTAGAGTGATACATACTATGTGGATATGGCCAAAAGGTTAGGATACTGAATTCTGGATTTCAGTGTTTTTCACAGTTCTAGGGTTCTTTCTTTCCAGGTTGGCAGACACCATAGAGATGCCAAGAGAAAGAGCTGTGAATAGATATTTTTGTGAAGGCCTTGAGTTTGGGGATGATATAGGAACATTCAAAGTCTAGTGCTATATGGAATGTTTAGGAGTAAGGGCATAGACTGCATGACTTAGGGTTAGAACCTAAGTCATCACTTCTCATTTGGTCCTTACCTGAGGATAATCCTCCATAAATACACTATGATCCAGACAAAAATAATGATATGTTAAAAGGATATCTCCATTTCTGGAGTTGTAACTCATTTCATAACTCTAGGGGACAGTGGACTCAGCATGGTGTAGAAATAACAGAAGACTGGGAGTGGGTCTAAGGGTCAGGTCTAGGCCCTAGCTCTATCACTTCCTAACTTCAAGGTCTCCAGCAGTAACCTTCAAATTTATCTCTAAGTTGAAGGGTATAGAAATGTCTACCTCACAAGGTTGCTGGGAGAGCTATAAGCAATGATTTCTGTCTGAGAAAGACCTTTGGAAACTTCACTGTATCATCTGTGCCTTTTCTTAGTATCATTTGGAATTTTTCCCTAAGATTTAATCTCCTTTCACATCAGCATGTGGATGTAGGTAGGAATTAATGTGTGAACCCTTGAAGGGAATAAGGGTCGCCAATGGAATTGCGGTTCACCACGTTCAATTTCATGAACCTTTAATGGGGCTTCTTTGAAGTGAACATCCACCCATCCTTTCAGATCTCTGTTGAAGTGGATTGTCTATAAACATATTGATTCATTAATTATAATTGAAAATACATTGTTTCTGCTTCTTTTCTATAAAAAGACCCAGTACAGGTGGTCTTCTAGGCAAACTAGCAGGGACTTTTCATTTTGGTACTGTCCACCACTGGCCTAAATTGCTATTTCCGCAATATCTCAGGATCTCTCCCTCTCTCTCCCTCCCTCTCTCTCCCTCCCTCTCTCTCCCTCCCTCTCTCTCTCTCTCTTTCTAGAAAGATCACTCTGCAGCGATTACATTCTTCCGAAGGAAGGTAAAGAAGAAGTGACATATAATATACTTAATATGTGCAGGTACATTTCAAGCTCCACCATAATTAATCATCAAATTGACGTTGGAAAGAAGGGAGCACAGTGCCATGTTATGTTGACAGAATTGTGCTTCTAAATTAAATTCATACTGATGGGCAGAGATGGACCTAAATTTCTCTCTCTCTCTGATGTTTAAGTAGTGCTGACTTCACCAGTCCCGGCTACCTCCCAGAACAATAGGAGGCAGGTGGAAGATGCCTAGTGCTTAGTAAGGGCCAGAGGATTCCGCTGAAGAAATTATAAGACACGTATTATAATATTTTTCTGTTACCTTGTACACTTAAGAAAATCGGATAACTTCCTTGAATCCGTCCTCTGCCTCTGCTTGCATATCTCTCCAGCTTGCTGAGGATCAAATGGAATAATGAAAGCAAAAGTGCTTGGCAGGCTTTTAAGAGCTATATGAAAGTGAGAAATTGATTTTTTCCTAAGAGACCTTACCAAATTTTGCTTGATGTTTCAGAGGGTATAGGTAAGAATTTCACTCAATGACTACTTCCAGAAAGTGACCATTTTCCCTTACCCTGTGGGTTGGCATTGGAGAACGAGCTCCTTGTGTTCTTGGCAATGGCTGGTGCCAGTCAAACCTCGGTTAAGGCTACCACTCATTTATCAGACTTGCATTGGATTTATGGTATAATCTAGTTTTAATGGCAGCACATCTACCCCTCGTGGTATCTAGGCTTAGGGAGATTGGATTCAGCCTCTCAGTTTATTAACTTCTTAATCTGGGCTAGAAACTGTGGGGTATCTCTTACAGAGAGAACAAAACTGGGATGGTTTACCATAGAAGCATTTAATCCTCAAGTTTATTAGCATCATATACAGTAATAATGCTAGAGCTGGAAGGATGTACAGATCGGCTAATCATGGCTTTGCTTATCAATTTAATTCCAAACTTTATTAAGAACCTCTATGTGCTAAGGATCAAGGAGAAAAAAATAAAATAGCAGAGTTCCTGTTCTTCAAAGGCTCAAAGTCTAGTGACATAGTATACATTTAATAAATTCTGTAAGTTGTTTACTAATGACCACATAATTACTAGTGGCCAGATCAAAGAAAACCAAGCTGGAACATTCCAATCCAGGAAATAATTTGTAGAGAGACTTTCTCCTCACTGACTCCTTGCAGACATTTGAATACATTCTTCTAAGGCTTGCATTCATTAGTCAGCATTTCAGAGCAAGACGTACAGTCACATCCTAGCATTGTAATTCATGGCTTGTTGCGTGTGTGAGTTTTTGTGTACATATTGGCAGAGGACGTGGTAAGAAGCACAGTGATGAATATCCTGGCTCTGGAGTTAGCCTGATCTTCCCCTAGCACATGTTTATACAAGGACTTGGGCAAGTTTAATCTTGCAAAGTTCCCCTTTCTTTTATTGCAAATGGGAGTACTGATCCTACCTAATACAGAGTTGGTAGGAGAATGAAAGGAAATAAAAGGTGTAAATTGCTAGTTCAGTATCTGGCACAAATGTTAAGTGTTTAAAATACCAGTTGATAGGACATTACATACATGTATACATGTCCCTGCAGCAGCTTGGGAAGAAGCCTATCCCTATAATGATGCTGACATGTGGTATCTGTCTGATCTTGAGAAAGACACTTTGTTTCTACAAAACTCTGTTCCTTTCTCTATATAATGAAAATAATAGGATTTTCATTTATTTATGCATTTATTTTATATATCTATGCCAAGCCCCTATTATGCACTAGGATATGTTCTAGCTGTTGCAGAATCAGGAGTGAATAAAAATAACACATGTACACATAACACATGTAAATTGCTTGGCAGATAATAGAAACTTAAGTATAAGTAACCACATTACTAATAATTACAGCTGATCAGCTATTACCATTCAATCTAACTTTGTTATAATTATATTAAGCATTAATATCATCTATTAAGAATGGCCATTTTCTCTATTAGATATATTTATCTCCTTGTGCCTTTGTGATTTTAATATACTGATAGCCCAAACAGCCCATTGCAGGTTACAGAGACCCTGGGACCAAACATTTGAATTTCTAGACATTTGCATGTATTTCATCTTCCACTGGACCTTGAATCTGACCTCAACTCTAGTCTCTGAATTTCCATTTAATAAGAAGCTGAGTGGAAAATGAGACCTTCACCCTTGGAAATCCCTTTATTTCCACCTGTGTTTACAAAAATGATGATGCCTTGCAATGAACTTGCTCCTTGCACAGACTTCTCAAAGTGTGTTTGAGGGATCAGCAATGATAATTTAGTTCTAAACTCAATTTAAACAATTGCACCAGCAACTGTGAGTTTCATTTCCTTCCTGGATCCATCTGCTTCCCAGTGTATTAGGTCTGTGTAACAGGTCCTGAGAAGGACCTCATTAGGCTCTGAGATGATATACTGCTTGGGCAGAAGAAGTCTGTCTTGGTTGTTTGTGAATGCCCTAATTCCTTAGCTGAGTGCTAGAGCCCCCACAGATCTGCTGTGTCCCAGTGTGGAGGTGGCCTGGAAGTCACACAGTGTGAACAGCAGTGTGGTAGCCTCTAATTGAGGTGCAATCACAGAGAACTTGTGGTTTGTGACTGACTTGCTCACTTGGTTTTGCTAAGGACAAGACCATGATGAGTTAGGCCACTTCCTCCAGCCTCACACATCATATCCCTGTTGATCTATAAAAGCAAGGGTATCTAGGCCAGTGGTCTTCAAAGTTAGGTTCCATGGAGGTGACGTCAGGTTGGTACAGGTGGAGGTGGGGAAAGGCAGATGTGTAACCCTCCGCTATTTCAGGCAAAAACTGCTCTGAATATATTTGTTTTATATTTTGCTTTTCTGCAAAATTTTATTTTTAAAAAGTACTCTTGGGACCATTTACTTCTGTATTTTTGAAAACAACACTTTAGGGTAAGTGTTCTGCCTCTTCTCCTTAATCCTTTTCTTCCCCTCTTAAGTATGGCTATCTTAGGGACTTCTGCACAGCTGCTGGGGGTATTGCTGTTAACATAGAGTTCGTGTCCAGAGTGGCTTGTGAGGGGTATCCTTTGTCCCTTAATCTCCATCAGCGCCCTTCTAAGCCACTGTTCTTTAAGTTTTAATTTGTGCGCCACTCAATTGACTATTTCCTTAAAACAAAGATTCTGATTCAACAGATCCAGAGTGAGACCCGCGATTCTTCATTTCTAACAAGTTCCCTGGCAATGCTGATGCAGGTATGTGGACCACCTTTTGAGTTGGGAGGGCCTATGGAATTATAATGCATTTAGGGAGCCCCTGGGTGGCTGGGTGGGTTAAGCATCTGACTTCGGCTCAGGTCATGATCTCCCACTTTTTGAGTTCAAGCCCTGCGTCAGCTCAGAGTCTGGAGCCTCCTTCAGATTCTGTGTCTCCCCCCCCCTCTGCCCCTCCCATGTTCATGCTCTGTCTCTCTCTCAATAATAAATAAAAATGTTAAAAAAAAAAAAAAAAAAAACTAATGTGTTTGGTACAGGAACATAGTCCCAACGCGAATGCCCCTGTACTCCAGCACTAACTGAATGGCAGCTCCTTTCTAAATATAGAAGTTCTGGAGTTACTACTCCTTCATCATACTAGCTTGCTGGAAGGGACTACTTTCCTACTCTCACCCCAACCAGGCTAGCAGCTCCCCACAGTGGGGGGAGTATCATGGTAGCAACCACTTTGATTTGCTCTTGAAAAACTAGAAGTGGAGGCGAGAATTGAGCATTTGCTGTAGGACAGACACTGTGTCAGGCACTTAACCTACAAGATCACACTTGATATTCAACAGTTCTGAGAGGACCATGCTTCATAGCCATTTCAAGTTTAAGGAAACTGCAACAATGTAACTTATGCTGCAAAAAGCAATGGAAGACATCCCTAAATGTTCTTAATGACTAATACCCAGCTTCTAATTTTATTTAAAACATATTTATTTATTTTGAGAGAGAGAGAGAAAGAGAGTGCATGTATGTGCGGAGGAGGGGCAGAGAGAGAAGGCGAGAATCCCAAGCAGGCTCTGTGCTAACAAGAGCCCAATGTGGGGCTCCATGTCATGAGCCGAGATCGAGAGTCAAGCACGTAACTTACTGAACCACCCAAGAGCCCCCTGCTTCTAATTTTTCAAATATATGTTTTCTTGTGTACTCCTGTGACCTTCCCAGATCATGTGGCTGGTTTATGGAACTAGTGAGAGCCATGGCCAGAAACAGACCCTGAATTCTTAGTCCAGGGATCTCCCTCCTGGGTGGTGTCTTTTGTATCTGCAAACATTAGATTCTATATACAAAGAGTGTTGGATCTTTCAAACAAAGTGCCAGTGGCATGATGTCATAAAGTGGTTTTCAAACTGAGGCTTGAGAATCATCTGGAGAGATTGTTCATTTTGATTTAGATTTAGTAAACATGGGGTAGAACCGATAAATACGCATTTTTAATGGTGACTGGGGAGATTTCATGTAGATGGCCACTAGGTGGCCCTTTGAGAAATACTGCTTTGTGCTCAAGACAGAATCAGGAGACCTGGATGTGAAATTTGGCTCTGTGCCTTTCACTCTTCAATCACCCCCTCTGCCTCAGCTTCCTCATAAAAATACTGAGCTACAGCAGTGGACCTTAATTTCCCCAGTGCATTAGAATCATCTGGGAAGTTTTACAACTATAAATACCCAGACCTCTGAGATTCCAATTCAGAGGTCTGAAGAGCCCCGGACATCTGTTTCTTTTCAAAGCTCCTGAAGTAGAAGATCATAGGAGTTACCACCATTCCATTCCAGGATAGGTTGGTGTATATTCTGCAATGAGGGGCATACAGAGATTTGTGCATTTTTGGTGCTCCTGGCAGTGATGGGACATGGTAAAATCACATCCATCCCTGGCTTCCTCACCCTGTCGGTGATGACAGTATGCAGGAATGTCCATTGGGCTCCTTACTTTCTCTCCTGTAACTCTCACAACACTATTTTCTTCCAGGAAAATATTTGTGTCTTACAAACAATGAAGCCACATCTCCAAGGGGCCACAATGTCTTCAGAAAATCTCATTTCTGGGGGTTTGAGCAGGGGCTTGAACCCAGGTCAGTCAAGCCCAAAGTGGACACTGGTCTCATGGGCCCCCAGAACCAGCTGTCCCAGTTCCCCAGACCATCTCTTCAGTCTGCATCCTGCTTTGTGAATACAGTTCTTTGGAGACGGGACCTATATTATTAGTCTGCCAGAGCTGCTGTAACAAAATGCCATGGACCAGGGAGCTTAAACAACAGAAATTAATTTCTGCACCATTCTGGAGGCTGGGAGTCAAGTATCAAGGCATCACCACGTTGGGTTTCTGAGTCCTCTTTCCTTGTCTTGACAACAACCACCTTCTCACTGTGTCCCCAGACAGCCTCTTCTCTGTGACAGTGCAGCCTAGTGTTCTTTCCTCTTCTTATAAGGATACCAGGCCCACATGAGTAGGACTTTGCCCTTATGACCTCATTTACCCTTAATCACCTCTTGAAGGGCCCTATTCCTAAATGCAGCCACACTATGGGTTAAGGCTTCAACATATCAGTTTTGGGGAGACACAACCGAGTCCATATAGGATCTTAGGTTTATTTTAACTCATTAATATATCTGGATCAACAACCCTCAGACCGGTTCAGTGGATGTGGGTGAAGAAATCCTCAGTGAGTCACAATTCCAAATCATTTTATTCAGTCAGTTTTCAGATTATTAGCTCAGAAAGCACTGGACTAGACACTGTGGGTTCTTCACAGGTACCCCAAAAGCATATATGCGTCCCTGACAGTATGTGTCATAAAAAATGGATGTGTAAATGTGTTTTTATGGGGATAAAATCCATAGCTTTCATTAGGTCTTCAAAGACTTCACATGCCAAAGCAATGAAGGCCTTTCTCAGCTCTTAAGTTCTGAGATTCCAAGTAGAGATATTCTGTTCTCTTGAGGGCTCATCAAGTAGTATCCCAAAAATGTTATCATTCTGCTCTCCGTCAACCCCTAGGGCTAAGAAAGATTATGCTTCTGAACTAATCACAGCAGGCTTCTTGTAGGAGGTGAGCATTAGGTCTAAAAGTCTGTTGGCCATACTTAGTGAGTAATGAGGGCATAGAGGGTTTCCTACATCTGAAGTTGGACCTGAAAGTTCTCATATTTTGATAGAAAAGAAGGAAAAGAATGGCCTGGAGAGATGATTTAGGATTTTCCACGCTTATGAATAGAGTGTATATTTTGCACAAGTATCTTGACTGGAATAATCTCCTAGGATGACTCAGCAAAAAAACAAAAACAAACAAACAAAAAAAACAAAAAAAACAAAAAAAACACCTTTTTGAAACCTTGGTCATGTGCTCATTTTTTTCCCCATCACTACCTTCATCCATTGAGTTGTTGCAGCCTATGGATCCTCTGACTCTCCCACTTGGATGCTTTCCATATTCAACTAACTGGGTCCCTGCCTCCTGCTTTGCCTACTTCAGATCCCTTCTACATGTTGTTAGATCAGATTTTCTAAAAATCTTTGTTTCACTCACTCTCCTCCTCAACATTCTGAACACTGTATTATTTCAAGACTATTAAAGCATTTTGAAAATAGTAACATGCTGTTTAGAATTATAAGGAGTAGTTACATCTTCCCATTAGAAGGAATTAGAGGTATCTGTTCATTTCAAGCACACTCACGAACAGCTAAGTAAACCATAAGCAGGGTCAAACACCATCCTCTGGCTCTGAAATGTGGCAGGTGATGTGACAGAATTAACAGCCAAGGTTTTTGAAAGCTCTTACCATTTTCCAGGACTGTTTTTTAATTGTTTTTTTTTTTTTTAAGTTTATTTATTTATTCTGAGAAACAGAGACAGTGCCAGCTGGGGAGGGGCAGAGAGACAGGGAAAGAGAAAGAATCCTAAGCAGGCTCTGCACTGTCAGCACAGAGCCTGATGTGGGGCTTGAACTCACGGACCATTAGATCATGACCGGAGCTGAAACTAAGAGTCGGATGTTCAACTGAATGAGCCACCCAGGCACCCCTATTTTCTAGGACTGTCTTTACCATTTTGTGTCTATGAACTAAATTTAACTTGTCAAGTATCTTGCACAGTAGATAAACCTTGTTATTCTCACTTGTATATAAGAAACCTAAGACACTAGGAGGTTAAGAAACTTGCCAAAGATCCCATAGCTAGTAAGGGTTGATGACAGGATTCAAGCCCAGGTAATCCGAAGCTAGCATTGAAATAAAACATGAACATGGTAAACATTGTATAGAAAGTCATTTTAGAGCTATCTTCCAAATTTCTAATTAAGTACAATTTAAGTTTCTTTCTTTGGTTAAAGTTTATCAGCAGAATTTATTTATGTTTATTGGCCATCGTTAGAGAATTTGGAGACTCATAAACAGACCCGGGGAATAAGTAGAAGGGAGAATGTATGCTTACTGAAGGTAACTGAACAAGAATTGGGAGAGGAAGGGGCTGGCGATCAATGGAATTCCTTAGCATGTTTATGGACAAAGGAGAATATATTAGGTGACCATTGCTACAACAATACTGTGTAATAAATTACTCCCCAGATTTCAGTAGTTTACAACCAACATTTATTTCTCCATCAGAGGTCTGCAAGTGAACTGGAAGACTGGTTCAGGCTGAGTTGGTTGAAGTTGGCTCTATCTATCTGTCATTGTAGGACTCAGGTTTAAGCCTTACTGTTTACAAGAGTATGATCTTCTTATGGTGCAGGGCAGGAGTGCAAGGGACCAAATCCAGCAACACAAGCCAATGAAGAGACTCTGGTTGTTCTGCTGTACTTTAGAGTCACACACATTTCATTGGACAAGCATGTCACGTGGCCAAGACTCAAATCCCCAGAGTGGAAAAGTATAATTTGTCCACAGTGAATAATGACACAGGTTGAGAGGGAAGGAAAATTATTACAGTCTACCACTAAAAGATTATCTGAGGTTGAAATAAACCCTAGTGAAAGGTCCTATGACTATCTCTACTGGAGTGGGTGGAAAAAAATCTTATTGGGAAAGAACATTAAACTTAATGAACAAAAACATCACCACTGGGTGGTACTCTTATTCCAGGACGGCTTTTTACAAGATAGATGTATTTGAGTAGCCAAATAAGGAAGTTTTCAATAGGACATTACAAGTTGAGTTTTTATAACTCAAGTTATGAATATATTTTCATTTCTACTTCACAATGTTAATATGTGTGAAGTACTCAAAACAGTGCCTGGAAGAGAATACTGTTGCTATGAGAGTTTGATGTGATGATGATGATATCAAAATTGTGCAGTATTTCTGTTCTTTGTACATTTCCTTTCTCCTGCTTGAACTCAACAACAGTTTCTGTAAGATACCGCCTAGTCTTACATCCTAATGAAGACCTTTTCTAAGTCTCATGACCGAGAAACAGAAAGTAATAACTTTGGGGAATGCTGGACATTTTTAACAATATAATTTTGTCCGAAGCATCAAGGATGAGTTACAGGGCACCTGGGTGGCTCAGTCAGTTAAGTATCTGACTTCAGCTCAGGTCATGATCTCACAGTTTGTGGGTTCAAGCTCCTCGTTGGGTTCTGTGCTGGCAGAGTGGAACCTGGAGCCTGCTTCGAATTCTGTGTCTCCCTCTCTCTGTCTCTCAAAAATAAACATTAAAAAAAAGGATGAGTTAACAAAGAGATTTGGAGGATTTAATGAGAAGTGTGCAAGAAAGATCTGTCTGTCTTCCACCCACATTGTTTTAACAGTCAAATATAGGATAGCTTCTACTAAAGGAAAGAAAGTGGGGAGAGAAATTTGGCTCTTGCAGTGTTGGTAAGAGATACGGCAAAGAATGGCCCAATCTGTAAAGACTGTTCTATGTCCAGATAATCCTCAATTTATTTAAGCAGGATAAAATTTTTAAAAAGCATACAAATCTTGTGAATAATCAAATTAAGTAGCCAGTGTCCCAAAATATTTAGCCACTTCCCTTGTGAGAGGTCTCCCACACAGCAAGAAAACAGAAAATTTTCTTAAAAAAAAAACACATTAAAAGCATAAGAATTGAAGGTTCTAATAACATCAGGGAAAAACAATCTTGAGATTGTAGGGGTTATTCATCATGATGTTTTCTTTCTATTTGAAATACTAAAGGAGAATTTGTTTAGAAAGAGAAAAACCTTCCAACTCCCTATCCTCATAGGTTTGGCATTAAAGCTAATATGTTCTTTTCTTAATGAATGTATCTAATCAGAAAAGAGTCTCAGGATCCCAGAATGTCTGCACTGACAGCCCTTAGAGACCACTCTGAGATACTGAAAGAGAGTTCATGTCACTTGCTCAAGTGCACCGTATGTGGCAGAGCAGGGACAAATTACCCAGATGTCTTTATTCTAAGTCCAGTGTCCAGTATTAAACTGGATTTAATAGAGTTTCCCCCAGCTGCTTATCTGTGGGAAAAATTACTTTGATGTTTTCATTTTCCTTGCCATCGAAATGGAAGGACTAATCGGTGGCTTTTCTAAGAATGTCCTATCATTTGTTTTGAGGCATGCCTCATGGAAAAATGTTTCTTTTGTTTGTTATTTTTTGATTCAGGTTCAAAGACTTACCAGTCAAAGGAAAATTTGATGGAGGAGAACTTTTGAGGATTCCACATTTAACACATTGAACAATGGAAAGATTTCTTAGTGGTCTCCATTCCATTCAAGACTTATTATTTTTATAAAAACAAAAGCAAAAATAAACTATTGGGACTGCACCAAAATGAAAAAAATGTTTTTTTTTTTTTTAAGTTTATTTTTGAGAGAGAGCATATGCACGTGCCTGTAGGGAAGAGGCAGAGAGAGAGAGGTGGACAGAGGATCTGAAGTGGGCTCTGTGCTGACAGCAAAGAGCCCAAGGCAGGGCTTGAACTCACAAACCTCACAAAACATGAGATCATGAGCTGAGCAAAAAGGATGCTTAAATGACTGAGCCACCCAGGCACTCCCAAAATGAAAAGGCTTTGGACAGCAAAAGAAACTGTCAACAAAACAAAAGTGAATAAGAGAAGATATTTGCAAATGACATATTCAATATTTCAATACAAAATATACAAAGAACTTATACAACACAACACTAAAACACATACATACATACATACATACATACATACATACATACATACATACATAAGAACAAAAACAATCTGATTTAAAAATGGGCAGAGGTCCTGAATTGACATTTTACCAAAGAAGACATACAAATGGCTAACAGACACATGAAAAGATGCTCAATGTCACTAATCACCAGGGTAATGCAAATCAAACCAAAATGAGATATTGCCTCATACCAGTCAGAATGGATAGTATTAAAGGGATGAAAAATAACCACTGTTGGGTGAGGATGTGAGGAAAAAGGAACCCTCATGCACTGTTGTTGGGAATGTAAATTGGCACAGCCATTGTGGAAACAGAATGGAAGTCCTTAAAAATCTAAAAACACAACTACCCTATGATTGAGTAATTTATTATTGGATATTTAACCCCTGGAAAATTAATTAGTAAAGATATGCCTCCCTAAGTTTAATGAATCATCATTTATAATAACCAAAATATGGAAGCAATCCAAGTGTCCATTGATAGATGAATGGATTAAGGTATGGTATGTATAAACACACACACACTAGAATATTACTCAACCATAAAAAAGAATGAAATCTTGCCATTCGTGACAATGTTGATGGGCCTAGAGGGCATTATGCTAAGTGAAATAAATCATATTGAGAAAGACAAATACCATGTGGTTTTAGTTATGTGTAGAATCTTAAAAAACAAAAGGGCAAACAAATAAACAACAACAGATTCTTAAAATACAGAAAACACACTGATGGTTGCCAGAGAGGAATTTGGTAGAGAGATGAAGAAAATAGATCGAAGGGATTAAGATATACAAACTTCCAGTTATAAATAAGTCAGAGATGGAAGTACAGCCTAGGGAATATAGTCAATAATATTGTAATTACATTGTATGCTGACAGATGGTGACTGTACTTACCACGGTGAGCAATGAGTAATGCATAGAAATTTGAATGTACACCTGAAACTAATATAGCATTCTATGTCAATTATACTTCAATAATTTAAGAAATGATTATTTTTCTGGAAGAAAAGTTTTTGCTGAAATTTCTCAGAGAATTAAGCTTTGAAAAATATCCTATTTGGGATGATGGAGCTATGTTCAACCTGCTGAATTTACATAAAAGTACTTAATACATAACTATTCAATGCATGGTTTCTGGTGCATGAATCAGCATTTTGAGGTTTAAACCTCAGAGACTCTTTTTTTCTTTTTTTTTTCTTTTTTTTAAAAATTTTTTTTTAATGTTTTATTTATTTCTAGGAGAGAGAGAGAGACAGCGCTAGCAGGGGAGGGTCAGAGAGAGGGAGTCACAGACTGAAACAGGCTCCAGGCTCTGAGCTGGCAGTCAGCACAGAGCCCGACGCGGGGCTCGAACCCACGAATGGCGAGATCATGACCCAAGCGAAAGTTGGACGCTTAACCGACTAAGCCACCCAGGCGCCCCTAAACCTCAGAGACTCTTAATTGTTGGCAAATATTCAACATTTGTCTCTCTTAATCTTTACTATTAAACTTTTTCTTTTTACCTAATCTTCCTTCAGTCTCTCATCCACTGTGTTCATTATCTAAAAACAGACAAAGAAATCAGTGATAATTGTTCTCTCAATAAAGCTAGAAAAGTTCTGAGCTATCATCCTGTCCCATCTTCAGATTAGGACACTGAAGCAGAGTGGTTATTCAAGACTTCCATGAATAATTTCTGTTTGCAAGTTATGATCTTCAACTTCTCCCTGGTTTTCTCTGTGCCATAGAAGCCTTCTAGTGGCACCTATTAGGAAAGACAAACTCCTAGTCCTCCATCCTGCTTGTTTCAAGGACTGAAGGGAGTTTCATTATTAATCATTTATATATTATCTCTACACTGCCAGCCTCCTTATTAATCACCTCTGTGGAATCTACTGCTATTAATCATCAAATGTGTGTCTGAGCATTACCGGTAATTATCTTTGAATGTTTGTTACCTGTCAGTTTAATTACTAGTTTTCCCCCAGGAGTACAGACTGATTCAGGTCCCTGACTCTACTGTGTGCCTGTGTATGTTAATGTGTTTACACTGTACTTGATTCTCTGTGTACGTGTGTGCTACTTTTAGACCCCAATTACCATTGCATGAAGTAAAACTATACTTCAAATAAGTATTTCTAACCCTTGGTCACCTATGAAACCACACACTTCTTGTTGAATGTGAAGGCAGAAAGGCAGGTATAATCTTTGATCCCCTTGGTTTAATCTTATATCTCTCACAACAATTCTTTGAAGTCCTCCATAAACTAACTGATTTTACTTCTCCAGGAATAAGCACCATACATACCTGGGGTGTGTGTATGTGTGTGTGTGTGTGTGTGTGTGTGTGTGTGTGTGTGCGCGCGCGCGCACGTGCGCACGTGTGTGTGTGTGTTTAATCCATTCAGTGCTTGTAGGGATCAAAAATGAGTAAGACCAAAATTCTTAATCAATACTTGTCCACTCCTCAAACCAAAAACAAGGCTTTATACCCTCACTTTTGAATGGATGGCAGTAGAAAGATAGTTTCTGTGTCTTAGGGTATGCAAAGAGCACCCAAATTGTGTTTAGAGCAAAGGAACAAGTTAAATAAGCACTCAGTCTTCTCTGAGGAGGACATTTCACTATACAAGAAGAGTACCAGCCACTAAGCAACATATAGAGTCACATGTTTGGAGACAGAGGGGATGAAAATAAAGAAAGGAACATCTGTTGAATGTCTACACATACTATTTTATTTTATCCTCCCAATAATAGTTCTTCTGTGTAGATCCCATTAACTCAGAAAGATTGCCCAACTACACTCAAATGGTTAAGTAACAGAACTAGGATTTAAACCATGATCTGCCTGATTCCAAAATCCATATTCCTGCTGCTATATCAGTGCTGCCTCAAGATAAACATCTGCATAAATAATATCAGATAATGGGAAAATGTAAAAGTCAGAAGAAACACAGATAATGTTCCTCTCAAACTCAGAAGAGGGGTTCAGAAACTTCTAGATGGGTTGTCCAGAAAAAGATTTATGAAGACGACACTTGGACTGAAGAACATGTAGAATGTAAAGATCTCAACACTCTAGTGTATGCTCTCATGTGCTCATTCCTTACTGGAGTCTTAAAAGCCTAGAAAGTTGGGCATCTGGGTAGCTCAGTCAGTTAAGTGTCTGACTTAGGCTCAGGTCATGATTTCATGGTTTGTGAGGTTCAAGCCCCACATCAGGCTCTATGCTGTCAGCTCAGAGCATGCTTTGGATCCTCTGCATCCCTCTCTCTCCGCCCCTCACCTTCCCCTTTCTCAAAAATAAATAAAAAAACATTTTTTAAATGCCTAGAAAGTTCCCAGCTCTCTATTGAACTTCACAAAGTCTATGGTCTATTTTAGCATTGAAATTTTGGAACACAGAGACAGAAGTTGCTGTGAAGATGTGCTCTTTTTGTTAGCTAGACAATGACTGGAGAAAGTGCTGTTAAAACACACATACACAAACACAATTATATAATTTACTTGTTATAGGGAGTCTTTTCCTCACTACTGAAGACCTCTACTATTGAATATTTGAAAGGTGTTTAGTTTCCAAAATATTTCTACAACCAGTGTATCCATTTAGTCAGTGTTTAGTGAGTGTATCCTGTAATCCCCCTGCCCCCATAACCAGCACTGTTGCATCTATGTGGGGATTTTTAGAGAGGCATTTTGAAAGATATAAGACATGGCCTCATTTATCAAAGATCTTATAATATACTTTGATATATAACAACTGTAGCTTACATTTATTGACCTTAATATGTGTCTGGAAAGATTATAAGCACATTTCTAGATTTATTGTCTCCTTTAATTGGCTCAACTGAAAAGGTTCAAGTTGAATAGAAGTGTGGTTGTCTCTCATGTCACAGCACTGGGCAGATGAATTTGTTGGTAGAGCTTATTCTGAGTCGATGAATGTAAATGCATTTCCTAAATTCTAAAATGCTAAGTGGACTTAAGAGAAGTGTTGGGAATTTCATGAAGGGTAGCTGGGTAATTTAAAGGAGCAGATTCAAGTTAGTGATGACTTTAAAAAAAACAACAAATAGTGGAGTGCAGGTTTGGATGATGAGTTCCTATTTACAGATGGAGTAATTAAGTCTTTGAAAGACCAAGTACTGTATTCAAGGTCATGTTGCAGATGACTTAAGGAAACATTCAGGTCTCCTAACACTGGATCTACTGCCCTTTTGCCCAATCCTAATACCACTGGCCATCCAAGTTAAAGAGAATGCCGAACAGAGTGCAGTGGGGTGGACTACATAGTCTCAGTTATGGGTCAAAGTCTTTATTTGCTCTAGCTCCATCATTAATACTCAGAGAAGAAAATTAGGGGCACAGAGTACTCTAAGTTGCAATTTGAATAAAATAAAAATGAAAACAATGACATTTTAAAGTCCAGGACACCTACTATGTGCAAAGCTTTTCTTTAAAAAAAAAAATTAATGTTTTATTGACTTGAGAGAGATAGAGAGAGAGCATGAACAGGGGAGGGTCAGAGAGAGGGAGACACAGAATC